ACCAGGACCTGGTCAGTCCCCAGTGGGGCGGGTGACTCATCCCAACCAGGACCTGGTCAGTCCCCAGTGGGGCGGGTGACTCATCCCAACCAGGACCTGGTCAGTCCCCAGTGGGGCGGATGACTCATCCCAACCGGGACCCGTCCACCTGTCTACAGGACGACTGTGCTGGCCGCTCCTGCGACCGCAGGGGACAGGGGAGACAGCGGGGGGCCAGCGGGGGCCAGCGGGGGCTCCACAAGGCAAGCAGAGCCGGGCCAGTCACAGGAAAGCCCGGTCCTGCAGGCAGTGGATGGCACCCTGGGACACAAGCTCCAGTGGACAGACAGACCGACACTTCTGTGCCGGCCGCACAGAAAAGGCCCGTGGCGCTCAATCCCACAGCGTCCACGACGGTCACCTGCCCACACGGTGTCACGGGGACTGCTGTCCCCACTGTCCTCTGCCCCAGGAGGGCGGCCAGAGCGAGGCTGGGCCAGGAAGCCCTCACACCCCACGTCTACCGCTCTGTGCAGAACGCAGGACAAACACCCCCGAGTGTCAAGGAAAAGCAGGATCTATCCTGCTGCATTTCCGACACGAAGTCTCCTCTGTGGCCAGACTTCCTAATGGCCCAGGTCAGGCTGGACACAGGTGCTCGGGGAGCAGGCAGGCCTCCGTGCACGCAGGGGGCCCGGCACCCCAGCCGCGTGGCTGGTGCCAGGCAGGGTGGACACAGAGGGGGAAGGGCCAGCCGTGAGGAAACCCAGGCCTTTCACCGGCTTCCACGCTACTGCACCCGATGGCGGGAGCCCCGCAGGAACGCCGACCCCCTCGTGGGGCCAGGCACTCCGCATGCTGCCTTTGTCCCGCTCACTGCAGAGGCCACTTTTCACCCGTAACTGAGCCACGTGCAGCAGAGAGGAAAGGGGTCACGTTTAACTGGGACTTGAGGAATGCCCCAGGGAGGACGACGGCAGGGGTATGGGGGGACGGGGTAGGGGGGCGTGGGGCAGGAAGAGCAGAGAGAGACGGAGGAAGGGGGAAGGGCTGGGGCCTGGGGGGGAGGGGGAGGGGGACGGGGGCTGGGGACGGCGCACCTTGACCTCACGCCTCCTGCCGTCTTCGTGCTCCTCATGCTCCACCACGCCCTGGCTCAGGTTGGTGTAGTTAGCCAGCTTGTTGAGCAGGGAGGACACCATGGGGTTGCTGTCCATCTCCTCCTGTTTGGGGCCAAGATGTGGTTAGTGACCTGGATCCCCAAACCCACGGGGGCAACGCCCCGCGGAGCTGCCAGTGTCTCCAGCTCCAGATCCGAGGTCCACAGGGCTGACATGGGCCCACGTCACCCGACACGTGCACACCAGGTCCCAAGTCAGGGGCCAGGGGCAGAGCTCGGGGCCCCCAGCCACTCAGTAGGGGTCAGGGTTTCCCCAACGGCCCCTCCCGAGAAGGTGGTGGCCAAAGAGGCTCCCCCCGTGCACGGCGTCCAGTCAGGCAGGCAGCCCTCCGCCCGACCCCCAGGTCTCGGGGCCATAGCCCCCATGCCGTGTCCGTTGAAGTCACGGCCCTCACGCGTCTCGTAGGAGGAAGTGTAAGTCACCTCAAAAAGCGCCATGTTCTTTCCTTCAAAGCTCTCCTGCTCCACCTCCACATGATTGATGAACGGGCTGTTCTCTCGAGGGTTTCCATCTCCTGGGGGGAAACCGCTCAGGTCACTCCTAGAAGTGGCTGTGAACAGGACCAGCGCCCCTGCAGGCCTGGGGGGGGGGCCCTGTGGAACACCGGGACCCTCGGCTACGCCCAGCCAGGCGCGGGGCAGCGGGGGAGGCCGCTGGGCTCCAAGAACACAGACATGCATGTCACCTGCAGCTGTCACCCCGTGCCTGGGACCCCTGCCAGCAATGCTCCTCAAGGTCGCAGCCCTGGCTGCTGGGACAGCTGTTTGTGCCTAAGCAGCCCAGCCCTCCCCGCCTCAGTTTCCCCACCTACGAGACAAGACTCAGGAACACAGAGTGAGGGCAGGTAACAGAGGTGGAGCTGATGGGGCAGGATGGGAAGGGCTGCCATGCCCAGGGCAAGCTGAGGCCAGGTGCAGATGTGAGCCCAGGCCCACAGGGGAGCGGAGCGGCCTCAGCAAATGCAGAGGGGTCAGGGCCCCATCCCTGCCGACCTGGGGTCCAGGCCAGTAAGTCAGACCCTAGTGTCCCCCTGATATCAGACCCCCACACGGGGAAGTTACACCATCCTGTGAGCCAGTCCCAGGTCTGGCACGTTCAGGCCCTTGCAGCAGCACCACCACCCTCTTGGCAGGGAAGACCCCACCCCCCCACCACCAACAGGCAGGACCCCCACCCCCCAACTGTTCTTCCCCACCAAGTCAAGCTCAGCCCCCACTGACTCTCATCGAGACCCAAGCTGGAAGCCAGGACTGGGGGCGGCTAACACAACACCAGGACCCCCAGCAGGACAGCTCCCCGGCCCCCGGACAGTGGCCTGACCGCAGGGAGATAGTCCAGCTCGCGGGAGCCGCACCTTGCGGCCCTGGCGCCCCTACAAAGGCCCCAGGGCTGGGCCGAGGTGAGGCTGGAGGAGTACAGCAGCCCACACATGGGCAGGGGGTGTGTCCTCGTGCAAGACAAGCACCACAGGGTCTGCCGGAGCCCCGCTGCCCAGGGGCTGCTGACCTCTGACCTTTGTTCCCTGAAGCCAGGGTCCCGGCCCCAGCCCGTTGCCCCCCTGGCCCCCCCCAACCCTTCTGCATCCCATCAACCCTCCACCAAGAGCCTGGACGCAGCACAGCCACCACCCCGTGCCAGTGACCACGTCAGGAAGGAGGTGACCTCCGTGTGGGCAGGGGTCATGCCCAGGCCCTTGGCCAGTAAGCCAGGGACGGCCACCACTTCTCCCTATTTCTCCGACAGGCCTTAAGAAGAATGCACATGCCCAACACACACGAAACACGTCAACCTCACATGTGATGTGTTCACAGAGCAGCACCACAACTTCACCCCATCCTTGGCAAGAGCGCAGGGGCCAGGGCGCAGGGGAGGGCAGGCGCTCCAGTCCCAGCAGTGCGGCTCGCTGAGGTGGTTGCAGACCGGCACGGGCTTTCAGATGCCACAGCCACGTCTGCAGACCCCCCCAGTTAGCCAGGCACCTCCAGACCAAGACACCCTGCGTTTGTTAGAACAGAAAAAAACCCTCTGCCCCCGCGTGGCCCATTCCCGGGCACTGGGGTTTAGACGTGGCTCCATACACGATAAAGCCCTGCGCGTATTTCAGATGCCGGGCCACGATGGACACAAACGAAGCCCACGGGATGTCAGGAGAAAAGCAGGGACCAGAACATGTCCTATCACGGGGGTTCAGCCTCTGAGAAGCACGCAGCGCCCAGCCCCCAGTGCCGGGCTCACGGGCAGCGCCGGCGCTATTTGCAGGGGGTTGGGTGAGAGGGCCCCATGGGCGGCCGCCCACTCGGGATCTTCACGTCCCAAGCTGCCCCCCTCGGGTCCTGCGGCGCCTCCCCGGAACACACATCCGGACAGACCCTGCCGCGGCCTGGCCAGAACCATTCCTAACAAGAAAGGGTGCTCACACTAGGCCGCGCAGAAGACTGACGCCACCAGGTCACGGAGGAGCACAAAGTCCTCAGGCCCCAATCCAGTACCAGACCTCGAGACTGAGCACCCGATCACGGGCTCCAAATCCAAGCGTAGGGAAAAGCCACAAGCCCTGGGTGACAGGAGCCCCGGCTCAGCCCCATCTCATCAGGGATGGTGATGCCGCCCCACACGCAGAAGCCACAGACAGGGTCAGGTGAGATGAGCAGCCCGGGGGCCGTGCCCCCTCACCGGCACCCACTCGCGTCCCCTCAACACCGTCCTGCCAGGGAGTCACCACGCCCAAGGGGGGGGCTCCTGCCTGGACGTCCAGAGCCAGGAGGCCGCGGCAGGGAAGGCGGCGCACGCCGCAAGGGGTGCGGACGTGGACGCTCGCACGCAGGAGGACCTCCCCCCGGGTCTGTTCCTGATTAGTGAGGCAGGAGAGCCTCAAGCCCACCAGCAGCAGCTCAGGCCACCTGGTGTTCTGACCTATGACCCAACACCACACGGAAGGCTTCCTAGCACGGAGACCCCAGGGCCCCGGCGCTGGGAGAATTCACGGCAGGTCCTGTTGGTCCAACTTCCTAATGATCCCCCAAATCACCTCGTGAGTGGGGAGGCTTGCGTCACGGTTCCTGTGAGGAATAACCATGGGGACGGTGGGTGCAGGAGTGTCCCCTGGGACACTGCGCTTGCGTCTGGGCTGCATGGTCCCCAGCCCGCAGGGTCACTGGTAAGACCTGTCATCTGCCGGGATTCGGTCCCCATCCTGCCCGGATGCTTGGGGGTGGGGGTGGGGAGGTCCCCAGTGGAGGCTCAAGAGATAAGGGGGAGCGACAGTGGGCCGCCATGGGCACAGTAGAGAACCCCCTCCTCACCCCCCGTCAGCTGAGCAGCCCCTGAAATCCAGGCAGACTCTGCTCCTGAATGGCACACCCAGCTGCGCAAGGCCCCCCAGACCCTCAGGGTCCCAGCTCATGGCACCCAGCCCCCCACACCTCCACAACCATCGCTCGCCCGCCTGGTCTGCAGTCTGTGCTACACGGCGCTCGTCAGGGGACCGCCTCCCTGCTCGGCTTCCGAAACCGTGCCCTCTGTTTCCCACACTTAGAAAAAAACGATGGACAAAACACAAACGACCATATTTCAACTGGACACTAATCACCCCACGCAGAGATCAAGGAAACGGCCCAAGTACCAAGACTAAATCCAGTGCTGAAGACTCCGGGAAACTGGGGACCCTGGGAGGGGGTGCCCTTTCCAGAGATTCGGGTGAGCACTCCTAAAACCAGCATGAGTCTGCGAGCGCACCGTGCGCATCCGAGCATCACGTGAGTGCACCCTCGCTGCTGGGACGGGCGGTTGGGGGGTGGGCTCACCACTACCCACACACCCCCATCAGGACGACAGGGCACCAGTGACAGGGCTCCTGCTGGCCACCTCCAAAACACTGAGAGTCAGAATGAAAGGTCACGGTACAGATCCAGGAACGACTGGGGAAGGGCAGCCACACCCAGCCGAGGACAGACGGAAAGGCCACCGAACGATGGCCACTGATGGCCGCGTGCACCAGACCCGCGAGCAGACACAAGTTGAGGTGTACAGCAGCGGACACAGGGCCCGGGCCCACAGCACCTGCTGCACATCACAAGGCAGGGACACCCCAGGGGAGAAGCCGCCCGCTGACCTAACCAAGGTCAAGGTTAACAACAGGGTCACACCCAGGGGAGAAAACTCCTGCCAGCCATGACATGAGGAAGCGTGTGACAACCGCAGAGAGAAGCTGCCCCTCGGGTAAGCGATACCGCAGAGGACAAAGACAGGCGCGGAATGTTCTGGAAGCTGGGAGACAGGGAGAGCAGAGCAGCACGTCCTCTGATAAAGGACACGGCTGGGCCAGCTGAGCCAGAGGACAGCTGTGTCACCTCCATGCGTCCTGTCGGCCACCCACCCAGTGGCTCAGGGACACCCTGAAGGGCGGCAGACGGGCAGAGACACAGCTAATGTAGCCAAACGTCGACATCAGGCAATTCGGGTCAACGGGGTACGCAAGGATCCTCGAAGCGCTCACAGCTCCTCCGAACTCACGGCTAAGGCAAAACCAAGCTTAAAAATAGAAACTATTCCAACAGAAGGGAGACCGCTTCTAGAAGAGTCCTCCCTGAAGAGAAAGCCCAGGCTAGCCGTGCGGGCTTGGATGGCCGCCCAAAGACCCCCGTGCGTCTCACCTGAACCCTGCCAACTGCGCGGGGAACACCACCCCCACAGCAACTCCGCGGGCGCGACCCAAGAAAGCCACGTCATCCTGGGGGGTCGGGCGCTCCCAAGGCCCCTGCCTTCCCGACGAGTCTGAAGATTCTGCTCGCTTGATGACAGGCCCAACGACAAGCCTGGGCAGAGGGCAGCCAGGCCCTGCCAGGCCCCACCAGGCCCCACCGCGTCCTCCTGGGACGGGTTCCCCTAGGTGGCCTCTGCCAGGACCATGCGGAGGGACAGACACACACACAACGCACCGGGCCGGCCGGGGGTCCACCAGTGCCGCAGCACGAGGTCACAGGACTCGTCCCCACACCGTCTGTGGCAAGCTCCTCTCCCACTTTCTGCCACAGGGAACCCACGTCAGGCTCACCTGCACGTCTAAGGACGGAAAACACTCACTCGCCTCCCATTTACAGAAATCATTTGAAAACCTGTTTGTTATAAATGCTTGTTTGCAGCGATGTCACAACTCAGCTGAGCCCCGCGATCCCTTCGGAGAGAGACACAGCGACCCGGAGCATGTTGAAGCCGGAGCAGAGCACGATCAGCACCCCAGGGAGCAGGGGGCCCCCGAGGCGGGCGGCACTGCCGGGGGTGGGGGGGCCCTGAGGTGGGCAGCACCACGGGGGGCAGGGCTTGTGCGCCGAATCCCAGACACCAGCAGCGCCCGGCCTGGCTCTGGGTTTGCAGCTCTCGGGGGTCCCACCGCACGGCTGGCTGTGGACTCCAGGTGCTCCCACACTGGACCTGCTTTTCTGTGACCAGGCAGCCCCTTCCCAGAACGGCATGCTGAAGGGCCCCACGGCAGCACACGGCCCACGCTCACCCACT